CCGTGTCCCATTCATCCCCCGTGCGCATTCACGACGGGAGGAACGACGCCCGACGACCTACCGGCGAGAGGGGAGAGAGAGAGATTCCTCCCGGCGGAAACCCCCCTTAATCAATACTCGACGTCCTCCGCGCCGACCGCGAATACCCTCGCGATCCCTCTCTCTGGACCGCGCGCGCAACGAAGAAAGAGAGAGATTGAGAGTGAGTTTCGGCGCGCCGAATAAAATGGGATACGTATACTCGCCGGGACACGTGTGAAAAAAGGAACGGCCGGCGTCGGTTGCGAAGGGTTGCGGTTTGTATGCGCCACGTCAAGAGAGAGGAGCAAATAAATGGTCTCGACGCGGTCCTTTATGTAACGGCCAACTCGTCGCGCACGAGAAAACGCCGACGGGGCTCTATTTTTAAATGGGTCGATTCAATGAAATTATGCAGGAGTAAAATGTCGTTTCAGAAATATGATAAAAATGCTGCATTGTTATGGCGCATAAAGATTGAGAAGGAAATCTGCACGCACCTTTATGAAAGACAATCTGTTGAAAACGTTAAAAGGAAAATGTATACTCTCTATATCTCGCTTCGTATTGGAAAACGGTTCTCGCTCGCAATTACGAGAAAATCGTTGCAAGGGATTACAGCTGCGCCTCAAATCGGACCCTTTTCTATTACACGAGGGGTAGACCGCCGACGGAAGAAAAATGTTGGCGCAGAAAGCGTCGATTTCCCGAGCGGCGGGTAACGGCGTGGCGGCCTCGATTAAATGCCGACGCATTACTTGTCAAGTAGAATCAACGTATCGACTCCCCGAGGAGCACGGCGGCACGACTGGCCGCATTTATGTCGTCAGGAACGTTAATTGGTGAAAAGAGCGCGTTTACACCGCGTGCGTTTTATTGCGGAACAACGAAATAAAATCTCGCAACCTAATATTGCGAGCTTATACACGATCGGAGAATACAATTTATTCGGATATCTTTTTTCTTCCGAAAAAAAAAAACATTCTTTCTCGACGTGAAAAGAAGCTGTGCCCGCGAAGGTAAACCGTTGATTGCACTCGGATCAATAGCAACTGAATACCGAGGCGAATTTCGTATGCAAATAGGGCGATTCGACCGCGCGGAACTTTTTCTCACGGATTGATCGGAGCGTAATCTCAAATCGATAGTCATCGGCCGCACTGATTGCACGCTAGTTCTATTACTGACGATTCGTCTATTGGTTCCTTTTCCTGCCAACATCAGACGCGGCTATAAAACGTGCTCACAATGCCGCGCCCACACATGCTCATTTATGCGAGTTACATAGGAACGTCAACGATTTGAAATGTCATGCGAGCGAAGGATCTGATATTAAGTATCCTTAATATATGAGTCCATAGCCAATAAATTCTCAATATGATTTCGTGAATGTCATAAAACACTGCAATAACGATTGCAAACGGCATCAAGCCTTTCTAATATATTCGAAAAATATAATATATGAGGACTGTCATAAAAGATTCAAAATTAAAATTAAAATAATTAAAATAATTTGCAAAGTTTATTATCTCAGAAGATTTTAAACTTTGCAAATTATTTTAATTATTTTAATTTTTATTTTGAATCTTTTATGATCAGAAGATCTTCAACTTTGCAAATTATTTTAATTATTTTAATTTTTATTTTGAACCTTTTATGATTGACAGTCCTCATATATTATACTCGTATTTTTCTCTGATCTTAAACTTTATAAATTAATAAAAATTAAATTAGTTTGAAGAATATTATAGTTAAATTGAAGTTAAATATTTATAAGATTGCTAAGAATCAATATTTAGTGTCGCATTAAATTTTTCGTTTTTTTTTTATATAAAAAATACCTTTCTTTCTCGGGCATAGGTTAGACAAGCAGCTTGGCACGTAAGACTTCCTCCTTTGCAAATACAGTTTGTCCGTCGAACATCGTGTAACATTGAACTTCTACACGATCGAGGAATAGCAGTCTCTCTTCCTTCCGCAAACACAGCGTAATCACTCGGAGGTGGCGATAAACGATGATATTTCAGGAATCTTTTTCTTCTCCGATACGTGAAAGACGTGTTTTTAATTTTCAATTGTCTTCCGAGCGGTTGTCACGGCGCCGGCCGCCACGCCGCCAATCGCGCAACCGGAAGCAGATCAGTTAGTCAGTTAGTGCCTCCACGTGTATTTTTGCTGTCGCGAATACGTGCCTCTGTGTTATATATACATACCATGTATGCAACATTGCACACGCTATTCAATCTGAGATCTGTTTTTTATTTCTGCACTCGAACATTCCTTTCTCGCTTTTATCAAACATAAACTTATTTCACTTTAAATGCAAAGAGTGCACTAGTTCAGATATTTATAGAAAATATCCCAGAGACTAAAGAAGAAACGACGAAAATGCGCTCTCGTAGTAATAACCGAAACGGGATTGAAATATGAAAAATGCATCTGTCCCCTACGCAAGAGCGGGCTGTGCAATAAAAAAATAAAGCACCTATCGCGAAGCGAATGTGAGATACGCGCTTGGTACGGAATTACCGCATTATGCAGCAAGACGCGCCTTCTTCCGCTAACGAAACGTTTTCTCTGTAATCAAAAATAATAACACGCATATGTATATCCTGAAACTGCACGGACTCTAGATATGGAATAGCGGTATGATAAAATGCGTGCATACGGAAATCCATGATGTCGCATTGTAACAATCAAACAGTGTAATTGGAGCGCAGTTTACAAATAAGAATGGACTGACGATCGACTTACCTTTTGATGTCTCGTATTCACAAAATATGCCTTGTCAATGATAAATTTCCGGATATTAGTAAATTTTTACTTAACATATTTCGACGATACTATTTGCGGTATTTAATTTGAGGTAGAAGTTCTAAGCATACTTCTAGTAGCCCTCCTTATAAGTTTCTAAAAAGTGAGTTAAAATTCATAGAAGAGAAGTGAAATTTAAGTTGAAAAATTCGGCGAAGATGTGAGCTGGTGCCAGGAACTGCCGGTTGGCGTGTCTGAAGACTCGGTCCTAAGCTCTGCCATGCACAGATTATTACAGCTTTTATCGATTGTACCATGCTCCTATTGTTGATATCTTGTCGCCAGAAACTCGACAGGCTAACCGAATTTTAATTCATACATAAAAGTCCACCCTTGCATAAATATATCTATAAACTGCTTCCACGACGGTAAGGAAAATGAGTTTGCTTGACGTTTAAATCTGCCATAACTTATAATGATACAAGAACTATTGCTTACAAAGTTATTTTTAACGTAATGTTTTAATTATAAAATAAAAAAATTAAAGAAATTATTTTAAAATATCAAAGGTATTTCTAAGATATTTATAGTCATTATTTGAATTTTGTTTTAAAGCATTAGGAGATATTAAATAAAAAGTCGTTCGTGAGATATTATTTTTCTCTCTGAGTTTGTTTTCTTGATACATGAACGACTCAATAATCATCTCTCGGATTAGAGAGCGATTAAGACTAGTTAGCTAAGAAGCGGAATCACGAGAAACTGTCGTGTCGCGCGCCAAGTCACGCACAGCAAATAATAAAGTGACGTGTATCAACACGGCCCCTCTAATTGAGAGTATCTCACAATCAGATTATCGGATCTCAGTTACGACTGGACCAACTGAAGTAGACTTCCGAAGATTTAATCGATATAGCTAAGCATTGGATTATACATGATGATTCTATAATTGAGACAAATTATAGCTCTTAATTTTCTGATATGATAAATATACATTATTAAATACATATAAGATTATAAATAAAATATACGAAACAAAATAATGTTGTTTTATTTATATACAAATTTTATATCATTAAAATAAATGTATAAAAAATAAACGTATGTCTTTGTATGTTTATGTATGTAAAAGTAATGCAAAAAATTACGACAATTAAAAATAAATTGTGCACTTCCTATATAATATATATATATATATATATATATTACTTAAATCTCGTGACTTGATTGTTGTTTCAAGACTCAAAATTCTAAATTGTCAAAATTGTAATTTTTGAAAATGTAATAAGAATTCTTGGAATTCTAGATAATGTAATTTCTTTGTTTATTACTTTTCTAATTTTTTATTGATTTTCATAAATTTAATCTTTATTATTGCGAAAATTATAATTGTGTAATCGTCCAAATTTTGATTATAGAAATTTTTGTTAGAGAGAATCTGTCTTTAATAATGCTTCGTCAGTGATATAATTAAAAAGAGGAACTTTGAGAATAACATTTTTCATCTTTGTAAAATAAAGTGGTAGATAAATTAGAAGAGTGATATTACTGATTATCGATAACAATGTTAACACTATAATATTCAGTATTCAAGCCATATACTGAGTGCGCTAGGCTGACGAACGGTGAGTCATACAGCATTTCCTTGGCGAGTATGCTAGCTACTTTGCCACAGCTCAGTCGGCTTTAACGCGTCCAATCTCTTAGGGTTTCATGTGATTCTCAATTATTATCAATTTTATTTTTAGACGAGAATTGGCGGGATTTCTATATTTCTGTTATGTTACGTATTGGCATCGACAAGATACTATTAAAGACCCACAATAATCTTATGGGAATTAACGTAGCTATTAAAATTTAATGGCAATTGGCTAATAATATATATAATATTAATTTTATAATTTATCATTAAATCAATGTTTTTTAGACATGTACATATATTGACTTGCTAATAGTTTTATTTAAAATTGCATTTTTTATCATTATTTATGCGTGTTTGATTATCCATAAAGATGATAGAAAGATGATAGAAAAAAATTTTTATAAATATTCATACTTATTTATAAAGCATTTGTATAATAAAAAAAATCATGATTTTAATATTCAACTGTTTATGTTAATATTAAATGCCAATTTATATCAATAGTTGATACATCGACACTCTTCAATTACCACCAGGCCCCTCGGGCCCATTTGGTGGTTGCGAAAATTTACCCAGGTCTTTAATAGTATATCTATACTCTATAGTTAGTACAGGTTAGATTTCTTTCTAAGCCTCGTGGTATATCTGTGCGGTATTTAAATATAAAAATTTTTAAACGTCTGAGTTGTGCTCTCGTGCGAAATTTAAAAAAAGCTTAACTGGCAATGGCTGGAACATTATGCGAACGGTATATATATTTTTTAATGCATTAAAATATATTTGTCCTGTAATAAGTATATATAGTATAGAAATGGATATAATTAGAACATGGATTCGATTGATACCTGGTTTTATAAATGTAGAGACGATTCTAAAAGAAAGTCATACATTGATTGGGACGAATATTTCATGGCCATTGCGTTCCTTTCTGCGAAACGGAGCAAAGATCCCAGCACTCAGGTCGGCGCATGTATCGTTAACAATGACAAAAGAATCGTGGGCATCGGGTACAACGGGATGCCCATGGGATGCAGCGACGATGAGTTCCCCTGGAAAAGGGGTCCCCACACTAGTTTAGACGCGAAATATCTTTATGGTACAATGCGTAATAATTTTTTTTTTCCACAAAATATGTTCAAAACAACGAACTTACTATAATAACAGGATATTTATTACAAGCATTAATCAATCTGTTGGATTGTAGTGTGTCATGCGGAAGTTAATGCGGTTCTGAACAAAAATTCAAGCAACGTTAAAGACTGTACAATATACGTCGCTTTATTCCCGTGCAACCAGTGCGCGAAAGTAATAATACAGTCCGGCATAAAAACCGTGATTTACATGTCCGACAAATACGCTCACAAAGTCGAGACAATTGCCGCGAAAAGAATGTTCGATGCTGCGGGTGTAGAATATAGGTGCCTTACTCTCTTTGGAATTTCTGTCATCGATTCTATTTCTGCGATCGCAGCGATTATCTTATGACTCCTTTTTTAATTTTATTTTAGGCAATACATCCCGAAGAATCAAAAAATAGAAATTAATTTCAGCGATATTAACTGGACTGAGATGAACCAATTGCCGCAAACTCCGACAAAACTGGAAGATTAAGAAATGAGAATTAAAATCATCATGTCGATCACTATTTTGTCTCGAATGAATAAATTTAATTTGATAATGGATATATCTCATCTTTTTTATTCCTTCATAGAATAAGATATATTAAAGATCATTAAGTATAAAAGTGTCTATTTGGTCGCAAATAATAAGTTAATAGAAATTGAAAGAGGTTTCTTTCTATCATTATGGTAGCGTGTATAATAAAAAAATTGTTGTTTCTTTTCATGTGTTTCTATTCATTTATTTATTTTTTCACTTGACATTTCATAGAATGAATCCTTTCCAAGTAATGTTAACCACCAGATAGCACGTAAAAATACAATTTACGATTGTATTGCTGGATATTGATTTCGTTTTTTTTTTCCTTAATGCTTTTTGGAAGAGTTCAGAGACAGTAATATTTACATATAAAAGTATTAATTAAGAGTAGGTACAAATGCAGGCAAAGCAAACCTGCCCTCTTTCTCCGATGCTCACAGATGTGACGATCCCGTTTTTTTCCTAAATATTGATTAACCGGATGATGTGAAAAAAATAAATAAAACAATGTACGAGAAAGCAAAACAATTGCAATAAGACTAAGATAGATTTAAGTATATGACACAACTCTATGCGTTTTTTACCAGCTGTACAAATGTAAAACAGTGACACAATATTCTTATGGCATAATAGAAATATGTAACAATGTTTATTTTCTCTTCGAATTAAGCGGAGATAAAGGTAGACCAGTTTTACATGATATAAATGTTTCCATGGTGATGTAATATAATAAAAGGAAACGATTAAACAATAAAGACGTTTGATACATACATACATATACACATATACCTATATGTATTATATGTATATATATATGCATATGCGCGTGTGTTAATACGTGTTTTATGTACATACTATACATATTCGAATTCGTTCAATTAAAATGCTATTTCACTTATTTCCTCAGTTATGAGTATAATGCGAGGAAAGTGAAGAGACAATGAGCGTGATTACATTGCGGAATCTGAATTCATCACATAGAAGTACTTTTATATATTGTAGAAAATTGAGCATAGAATACTATGCATCGTATAGCGCCCAAATTAATAAATTAATATTTCGAATATCGCTTATCGAAACGGAATGTTGGCATTACGATTCATTGTCAATACTCTTTCAGTTTTGTTACATATTTTGGTCAGAGTGAGCACAAGTGAATACACTGTTCACCAGTCTTTATTATATCAATAATTACATTTCTCTCTCTCTCTCTCTCACCTTTATAAAACAAAATGTTAATAGATTTTAAGCATGTAAAGAATTTACTTGTGATTATGAAATGGTATAAAATGCCAAAGATTCCATTTGATTATACATCCTAATAATGTTCAGATATCCTGTGTGCACAAAATTATTTACTTAATAAAAATTACTATTGCTTATTAAATTCCAAAAGAGGCACTACTGTAAAATAATTATTCTAATTCTGTGTGATGAATTCCAATTATATTCAGAAATGGAAGAGATATGGTTTAGAGAATAACCCAAGCCTAGCTTCTCGTGCAATATCATGCTGGGGATCGAAAGGCGAATCTAGATTCAGCTCTCAACAAATTCGAATGCAACTCGCAATTAGCATTATTTATTTTCTATCCTTTTGATGTCTGTCTATATGCGCGTGATAAAAGTTCCTATATCGAGGTAATAACCTCCGATAAAGATTGGAGCAATTAATATTGTGATCTCTCTCATGAACACATGAAAATTACGTACAGAGTTCATTCATACTTTTATAGAAAAAAAAAAAAGATATTCAAGTGAAAAGTAAAAAATTCAAAGAGATTAGTCTTCAGTAGATGCACGGTCGTGAAGGTCAATTGCTTTTAATAAATTAATAGAAATATACACAATAATGTAGTAATTTATATTATGTTTTAGCAATCAACCTAAATATTTATCAGTTTCTTCTTTATTAGCTCTCTAGAGTAATTTCACCGCAATCAACAAAAGCGTTTTATTACATTAAATTGTTCTTGATACTTGACAATTTTTATAATTTCGAGAAAGCATTTCCATGCATTTACGGAAGGAATAAAAAAAATTTTAGAGGACAACAGATCTTCGATTCAATTATTAGTTAAATTATTCCATCGACTCACCACTCGTCGTTTTGTGATAATAGCCGGTATACTTCACGGGTGATTAAGGAGGTAAATATATATTATAACTAATACAATCAAACGTAGATACCTACTATATGTTTATGATTACTGTTATGACGTGTTTGAGTAGGAGTGATAAACATTCAGGCAATATTGATCGGCGGCAAATTCATTTGTCGCTCATTCGAAAGAAAGTCGTAAGACATTATTACACTTATTGATATAGTACCTGAAATATGTACAAACGTTATTTTATAGCTCGGTAGTATCTAGTGTCGTCTCGCGTATCGAAAACGGGCTTCTTTTTTTCTTTTTCACGGGGAAAAAACTGGAAAACTTATAAATATGTAGCGTTATTTTCGGAAATCAAACGAGGTAATCATAACATCCTTCGACTTGTACCGGTAGGCTTTCAAAAAACCTTTTGTATTTACTAAAATTTCCGCAATCCGTCGATGTACACACGTACGATGATATTTCGCTATTAACACACTAACGGCTTTTCGATTTATGATATACTTTGGTAATTTGCGTTACACAAAACGCAGTTTATCGTTCCTATAGTAACTTTCACAGAGACTTTCGCAAACGGACACTACTTCCTTATTGACTTCTCGATGGAATATCAGGGCTCCAATCCAAACGTAGATCATTACCCTGGGCGAAAAATTACAACGCAGGAATAAAAATGTGTGTCTAAGGAGAAAAAGTGTTAGATCGTTTTTTGTTCATTTGAAATAAACAGTTCACGGGTGAGGCGAACCAAGAAGTTATAGTATACACGATGTGGGAACGGAGTCCATCCAAATGCGACGACGGACAATGTACGGTACTCGGGTGCTTCGATGATCGTCTAGCGTTTTGCGGCCTCTACATAGTAGAGTATTATGTAGGCATCGCTGGAAATTGTACACCTTAAGTCGAGTAGAAATAATTCGCATTAGAGCGCGCGTTATGTATGTATGTATACAAGTCTTGTCTTTTTGTACCAATGTGTTAGTTCTCGCACGTGTTATTTTACACACTGCACGTCCCGTACCACAAAACAGTCCGCACTCTCGTCGATTATTTCCCCCCCTCTTTCTCTCTTGTCATCCCCATCCCACCTCTCGTGCTTAGCGTCGCCGCTCACGATAAGCAGAACGTGTCAAATTAATCGGTCTCGATTGTTAACTAATATTTAGCTAAGTCGTCCTCTCTCTCCCTCTCTTTTGTCAATATTTTCCTTCCTGTAAAATTTCCGGACCGCGTCCCAGAACGCTGTAAAACGGTCCTCGCCTCGTCGTTATATTATAATTTATTAGGATTGTTCCAGCACTGTCCCAGCACTGTTTCGCACTACGTGAAATACCCTCGAAGAAAACAGTTCGTGTATAACACGTGCTTTACTCGATTATTACGCCAATTTCATTTCGTTTCTTTACCACGGCACCTAAAGCGTGATTATTTTTTTTAACGTTCTCTAGTGCAAATCAGAAGACGCTTCCGTGTCCCGGCTCTCCATTGACTTGTCCTAATTACGATAGTGATTCAATGACGCTGCGATAGCGCGTGCCTGGATCAGTTTTTGATCGAATTCTCCTTCTCTTGATGATTGTTGGCTTTCGGCTCGGGCGGCCGAAACGCGGTGGCGAACGGGAACCGCGCGTGGCATTTCGTCATGTAATCGGCTATCGTGTCGTCACAGTGTCCGAAGTCGCCGTTGCGCAACGCGTCGAGCACCTTCGTGCAGTTCTGCAGCGTCACGCCTTCGAGTTCCTCGACGCCCGTCACGAGGGACAGCGCCTTCGTCTGCGCGGACGGGTCCAGGACGTACAACATCCTCGCGCCCTGCAGCAGATGCGGCAGCGAATTCCTGTTCTTCTTCAAGTACTCGGCATTCAGTTGGGCCGCCTTCGTGCTGGAGAAGATCCCGGCGGTCTGACGCTTCACCACCTCGCCCACCGCCCCTTCCAACGGCGATTTATTGATGTGCAACAGAAAACGCACCAAACACGTATGCAGGTCTGGATTGTTCGCGTCCAGCCTGTGAGCGCGTTTTATCGAGCGTAGCATGAGAAGAGTGCGACCTGTAAGAGAAACAGACGTTTACTGTCTCTCGCGTCTAACTATTGGCATATTCACTTCTGCAAAATGATTTCCATCGACTTGCAATTACTTGATTTGCATGTGCTATTAAATATATATTTCTGAAGTACCTTTTCGAATATATATCTCGAAAGCCATGAGATGCGTCTCTATTCGATTCGACGCCAATTCCTGCAACGGCTGCAAAAACTTGATCGCTTGTTCCAGTGGATCTTCGATCTGAAACAAATATATTTAATTAAAGAAATCATATTTTGCGGCTTGTGCTAGTCTTTTGTATTTTACGACGTGAAAGATATCTCAACGCCAACGCTTAAATGATAAGGCCAATCAAGAGACAACGCTCTTCTACCATCTCGCTATTTGTACCAACCCTTTCCAGCTTTTCCGGAATTAATTCGTCTAGCGTGGGCTGTTCGAGATCAGGGTCGTTCTGCTGCCGAGATTTGTTGTGCTGCTCTCTTTTCTCTTGAGCCTGGGCGGCTTGCTGTCGTTCAAGTTCGGCCTTTCTGCGCTGTTTTCTCTGTTTGTTTCTCAGTTTCTTCAGTTCGGATGGCGCCAAGTTTTCTGTAACGCAGCAAAGAGGAGAACGTTATCTTTAACGTATATAAAAATAACGGATACGTATAGATACATGTGCGCGGCAACCTTGCGATCGGAAAAAGACCTTGCGCGCAGAAAAACATCGTATTTGCCCGTTCAGCAAATACAACGTAAAATCAATCTTATTTACAGTCGCGTTTGTCATGGTTTTATAATTTGCGACTTAAATAAAAATGATTTACGGATGTAACAACGACTTCCCCTTTGCGATTCAACAAGCAGTACCGCAC